ATTTAATTATTTGAAAAAATGTAAATTTATAATTTCAATAGATTTAATAGTTAATATTTTTATATATAAATATTTTTAAAATTGAGAAAAATAATACTTAGTCACTTCTTTCAAAATTCTTAGAAATTCTAGCACTCTCAAATGGAACATATGTATCTTAGGCTGAACTAACAAATAAGATATTTTAAAACCAATTAAAACCTTCCTACCTTGATAACTAAAATAAGAATGTATTTTCTATTTGTTCTGCGTCGGTCATAGCTAATGATTATAAAGATATAGATTACTCATTCTTTTTAGAAACCACAATCCTGCATCAATAAGCAAACTATTATTATAGCCATATCCCTAATGTGGACTAGATAATGAGATATATGTGTTCATATTAATTTTAAATTCACTTAAATGAGGTTAAGCCGCTCTAACAATAAGTCCTCCCATGGAATGATCTATAAAACTAATACGAAAAGGATTATTTTTAATCCAATCTACTATATTATTTGATATCTTAAGCTAAGTTTTATTATTCCATTACGATTGGTTTTCTTCTAATTTAATCACTAACATCTTAATGTTGTTTTTGACATAAAGTACCGTTTGAAAATGAATTACATTTAATAATTTCTCTAAAATAAGTTTCTCCCCATTTATCTTTTATTTTTATTTGATATTCTTATTATATTAAAGTTCTATATTATTTTGTATAATCTTTATTATTAAATTTTATAATTCAAAAAGGACAGAAGAATACTAATTAATATCATTTTCTATTAGTGTAGATAATAAATTTTGATCTCTAATATTTTATTAAATTCAACACATCAGAAATAAGAATATTACCTTTAGTATGAATACTTTCTTTAATAATAGAAGATTCCTAGTGTTGAATATATGAGAATTTGGGTATTGTGGGTAATTTTGATAATTGATCATATAACTTAAGTTAACCACACATTTTAGCCACTTATTCTTACAGAGATTCACTTGTTAATCTTAATTATCCAATATAATAATCAAAAAATTCTTAACAATTGTTAAATTTATTTGTATGTTTATGAAGAAATTCTGTAAATGTCTTATTCGAGAACTGTTTGCTTTCTAAAATTCTCTTAAACAAAATTTAAAATCTTAAAGATTAGAATTGACTGTACAATGAAATTAACAAAAATGATTGTTATCAAACATAATAGGAACATATTCATGTACTCCTTTATAAGAATTGCAGATTCGTCCTTAAAAGGTTGCAACACATTTAAATAATGATTCTTCATTCGGAGGACCTCCAATTTTTGCTAAATCTGCACACATTAATTCATAAATTAATTTGAATTCATGTTCGTAACACGGAGACGCCGACACTTCTAATCTCAACACGCAGCTTTCAACTATTTCTACTTTTTCCTCTTAAAATCTAATCATAAAAGTTTTTGTTTAAAAGTATTGCTCATCAATTTGACTTTGTTAACATGATTCTTTTTTTTTACTATTATTGGTGCTTTCAAAATAATTGTAAGGAGAAGCCTATTCCCCATTTGATTTTATCATAAATCTTAAGTAGTATAGACTTTAATTAAAATGATCAATGTTTTTAAATGAATCTACAAGAATATTGTGTTCATATGTTGCCCTTAGCATTTAATAAATTAACTGTTAAAATATAAATGGAATCGAAACATCTCAATAAATTTGTAGAAGATTTCAAACTCATCAAGAATGATAAATTAATTAAATACCTAATCATTCTCGGCATAGGATGTATAAAGCAAAAGTTAGCAGAAATAAATCATAGATTAAATATCATAGTCAACCAAAATTAATATCTCCCAAAGTAACTCCAAAAATCACTGAATAAATTCCATTATAATAAAATTTTAAAAAGGCTGTACCTTATAAATATCATTTAGAGGATTCTGAAATGTAAAATACTATATTTAATATTTAGCAAGTCGATATTATGTAATTAATATAACGAAAATCATCATTAACAAAAAAATAATGAAACTTAGCATGTGCAAAGAAAACAAACGATAGATTAAAAACCTATAATTCCTAAGTATTTACCTAGAAATAACTCATAAACTGAAATTCTTCCTTTATCATAACTAGAGAATAGTAAGAGATAAGTTACTTAAAGATCATTTCATCATTCTAGTCAGTTTGACAGTTTACATACTAGAAAATTTTCCAAAATTTAAAGGAGAGAAAAAGAAGAGATTATGTAAAGAGAACAAGACTCCTATGAATGTAGGAGGAGTGCCGAAGCATCTTGAAGCATCTTAGACATGTTTAATCAAAAATAGAATTTTAAATATAATATGATAAGGAATAATATAAATCTAATAATTGTTAAAAAGAAGAAGAATAGACGATAAATATAGGAAATAGCACTTTAAATCCATTTAACAATACGCAATAAAATAAATTATTTTAACAGTTAGACAGATAATTGGGAAACTCTTTATCTTTTTAATTTTGATTCAATATTTATATTATTATTTTATACATTTTAATAATGTTTTATTTAATTAGATAGTTTATATACTAATTAGCAACTTAATGATGAGATATAATTGTTTATTTATTAAGTTTTTTAGGAATTTAAATATGAAAATTAATT